ATTTTTTACATTAATAAATATTAATTTAACTAAATTTATATATATTATTTGTTTTGTTAGATGATAGAATATCTTAATTTATTGAAATGTTATTTTTTATTAGAGGGGATACAACATACAAACAATACTAACGTTAGTACGCTTTCATTCACTAAAGCAAACTTAAAACTGAAATTTTAGTGTGCTTCCTTTCTCAATCCACTAATTGGTTACATCGATTTTGATCTAAAGATATTTGGTACACTTGCACGTGTGTTCGGGGGCAACATCATAGAAGCTTTCCGTCAAGAAATTTAGATCCATGAAAGATGAAGGTCCACATGTCTCTTTTATGATAATTGAATGATGAAGGTCCATCAACACATGATATGCTTTTACTTTCTTTTTCGTTTGCAAAAGGCCTATGGTTCCGCACCAGACCTTTCAAGTCAAGTTACATTTTATTATATTATGGTGCACTCCCCCTCCCCTTCTCCCTCGGTAGGTTTGAGTCTACCCTTCACAAATTGTTAAAAAAAAAAAAAGTCTATGGTTCCACAATAAAAGCAAGTCGTCTTTGGAAATCTGAGTCAGCTAGCTAACACTTTTGATCTCATCCCATCACCCTATCACCCTCAATGTACGTGGTCGAATGCATAACACTATATTTTATAGGTGTCTACTTTTTAGCTTTGAGAATTGTCCGTGAACAATAAAATGACAACGACCGGAGACATCCATGCTATCAATATAACCAACCATTATTTTTTTTTTATCACCGACGATGTTCTTTCTTTGCTTTCCTGAAAAGCTAGGAGATTTCATTCTCTGCTGCTCAAGTTGTAGGATGTCAGCAAATTTGCTATATAGTTACAGACAAAATCTAAAGTTATATTGTTAAAATTAAATCGTAAGTATTGCAATATAGCTATAGATATCTAACTATCCTCGTGACAATATTCTTACAGTTTCAAATTTCGGTAGGTAAAGAAAAAGACCTTTAGGTTATATACTCACGTGCATAAAACCATAGATAAAGAAAAATACCTATATTTGCAAACCATAGATAAAGACCAATGCCCAATTGCAATGACGATACAATGGTTACCGTATCACCGTTTGGTCACTATTTATTGTCGCCAAACATATTATTTAACAATACTTTAAGTCGTTGCAAAGTTACAATTTGTAACAATTATAATCTTTCTAAAACTAATAATTGGAAACATAAATCATTGTTAAAGTAATATAAAGAACAACTTTGGTTATTATTTAAAAGAATATTTACAACAACAAAAGTTGTTGGAAAAAGATGTATTTTACAACTATTTTAGTTGCTGTTTGTTTCATAAAATGATATTTTATTAATATAATTAAATAACTGTAGGTCCCTGGGTGTTTTAATTCTTATGAGATTATTATTGAAAAATAATTGAAAACTAATTTTTTCATATAATCTTTTCATACAATCTTACATAATTTTTTACAATTATGGGCTTTAAAGCACAAAAGGTAGGCAACCTATCTGGTCTTTGTTTTCGGGCTATTTTGTATATGTAAGCCAACCTGGGCCTTTACATGATGTAACCCACTTCTAATTTTTCGCTTAAACTTCCAAAATGCTAAACCTATTTCCGGCCATAGAAGATTCAAGTGCTAAGAAGAGAGGGAGCAAATCCAATAACAGAG